ATTTTTTTTTTTTTTTGAGTTGGAGTCTCACTCCTCTGTCCAGGCTGGAGTGCAGTGGCACACACACTCACAACCACCCCAGTGTCAACCTACTGGGCTCCAGCGATCCTTCAGTCCCAGCCTTCCGAGTAGCGAGAACTACAGACGAGCTACCATTCCTGGCTGTTTTTGTTGTTGTTGTAGAGATGAGGTCTCGCCAAGTTGCCTGGGCTGGTCTCGAACCTGCAGGCTCAGCAATCCACTCGCCTCAGCCTCACAAAATGCTGGGATGACAGGCTGAGTCATTGAGCCCGGCTAATTTTTTGATTTATTGTAGAGACGGGGTCTCACCAAGTTGCCCGGGCTGGTCTCGAGCCCCTGGGCTCAGACAATCCAAAGTGTTGGGATGACAGACATGAGCCCCCACACTCAGCTGACCCTATCTGCCTTGCTGCCAAATTCCCAGTGTCCACATTAGTGCCTGGGTTTCAGTTGGTGCTAAAAAACTGTTGACGGTAGAGTGACTGACCGCTCACCTGCTGACGGACCTTGAGGCTGGCCTCTTTTGCTTCCAGAATCTCCCTGTGAGAGAGAGGCGAGGCTGTGAGGACCACTGTCCGTCCTCTGCCTCTTTGCAAGTGACCATTACTCCTTCAGATACATTCTTACAACGGGTGGATCAGACTTACGCACAGGTGGTTTCACCACAGACTGCTGGCTGGCCTCTGGGGAGGGTTGTCCCCCTTGACACTCCCACCACCAGGGCACAAGTCCCTGTTTCCCCACATCCTTGCCAACCCAGGCTGTTGTCATTGTTTTCGATCCTGCCAATCTGATAATTGAAAGAATGTTATCTCATCCTTGTTTGTTTGTTTTTTTTGAGTTGTAGTCTCACTCTTGACGCCCAGGCTGGAGTGCAGTGGCACCATCACGGCCACCCCACCGTCAACCTGCTGCGCTCTGAAGATCCTTCCACCTCAGCCTTGCAAGAAGCTGGAGATACAGGCATGCACCACCATGCCTGGCTAATTTTTTGATTTATTGTAGAGATGAGATCACACCAAGTTGCCCAGACTGGCCTCAAATCCCCAGGCTCAGGCAATCCTCTCGCCTCAGCCTCCCAAAAATGCTGGGAATACAGGCTGAGCCAACGCGCCTGGCCTCATCCTTGTCTTAATGAATATTTCTTGGATCCTCTGGAAGGCTGAGCAGTTTTGTGGGTGCGTTGACTTTCTTTTCTTGTAAATGGCCCATCGTGTTCTTTGCCTGTTTTCTTTCCTCTCTGTTAGGAGTAAGACTTTTTTTTTTTTTTTTTTTTGAGTTGGAGTCTCACTCTGTCACCCAGACTGGAGTGTAATGGCCACTCCTGGTCACCGCAGACTTGACCTGCTGGGCTCTGGCAATCCTTCTGCCTCAGCCTTCCGAGTAGCCGGAATTACAGGTGCACGCTACCACACCCAGCTGATTTTTTT